AGCAGCATTATCATTATTGCATGATAGTAGGAACATAGAAAGTGGTTTTTCAAAAACTGGACACATTTTGACCAATGAAAGGGCCAGGATGTCAGAGAGAACTTTGAATGCCCACCTAATCAAAGAAATGGTATATCATGTATATGAAAACAATGTAAACCATGTTAATATCACACAGGAGCTTTTACAGATGGCAAGAGCAGTTCATGTTCATTACAAGCAATATTGTGATGAACAGTGTGTCATTAAAGAGGAGCAAAAAGAAAAGAAAGAAGGGGGAAAGGCAGAGGAGTTAGAAGGGTTTAAGAAGATAGACAGTGAAAAGGATAGTATACGAGAGAAGGAAGCAAAACTGAAAAAGCTGAGACAACAGAATGAGAAGAGGATGATTGCTTGAACATTGCTAAATGATGCGACCAAACGTGTAAAGGAGGCTACTGAGAAAAAGGGTATGGTGGGATTCAACACAGCACAGCTCATGCTAGAAGGAGTGGAGAAAGCAGTGGAAGAAAAGAGGACAAGAAAAAAATGCTTGTGGATGCAGTGCAGAAAACTGTTGAGAAACTAAAGTGTTCGTTAACTCCTTTTTTTAATCAAAAAATCAAAGATAAAGTAAAAGCAAAGACAAGTCTTACAGTAATTATGTTTTGTTGTCATAATGGTTACTTTATGTGAGTTGGTTAATATGTTTTGCTGTTTTATTATCTACAGTATGCGATTATTTTTAAAAGTGAATCTTTTTTTGCCTTACATTTTGTTTAATAATGAAAACATTGTCCTTTCTTCATTTAAACAAATTCAATAAAAAGGTATGCGATCCTTTTATCTGGATCACATCTGACTATGGCACTGGTTATGGGGATGGTGGAGGGCAGATAATAATAATTTTTAATGAAGTCCTAGTTTTACTTTTAAAACACTAGCTTATCAATAGGCTGACATTAAATTGTTCAGTATTTGGTCAGTTTTTTTAGAATTTTGGTCAGTAAAATCAGTATTTTTGACCCTCTGACTAGTTTTCACCCCTGCATCAGGAGGTCCATCAGTGGGGCCAGGACACTAGAAGCCCTCCCACTGTTGCCCCCCCCCCAAGCACCAAGAATACAGAACATCACTTGCCCCAGACAGAGAGTTCCTATCTACACCTTGTGGCTAATAGCCACTGATGGACCTCTGCTCCATATGTTTATCCAGTTCCCTCTTGAAGCCATCCATGCTTGTAGCCCCCCCCCCCACCTCCTGTAGGAGTTAATTCCATGCATTAATCACACTTTAGGTGAAGAAGTACTCCCTTTTATCTGTTCTAACCTGACTGCACAGTAATTTCATTGAGTGCCCACGAGTTCTTGCATTGTGAGAAAGGGAGAAAAGTACTTCTCTACCTGCTCTATCTCATGCATAATTTTGTAAACCTCGATCATGTCACCCCTCAGCTGTTGTTTCTCCAAGCTAAAGAGCCTCAAGAGTTTTAACCATTCTTCATAGGGAAAATGTTCCAACCTTTTTATCATTTCTGCACTTTTTCCAATGCTATAATATCCTTTTTGAGGTGTGGTGACCAGAACTGTACACAGTACTCCCAAGTGAGGTCGCACCATAGATTTATATGGGGGCATTATGATACTGGCTGATTTGTTTTCAATTCCCTTCCTAATAATCCTGAGCATAGCATTGGCCTTTTTTATTGCAGTGGCACACTGTCTCAACATTTTCTGTGAGTTATCTACTACGACTCCAAGATCTCTCTCTTGGTCAGTCTCTGCCAGTTCGTATCCCATCAATATGTATTTATAGTTAGGATTTTGTGCATCACTTTGTACTTGGCCACATTGAACCCCATTTGCAGCGCAGATTTTAAAGAAATCAATCTGTCAATTTCCTTATTGCTGGTTCATAAGTTCAAGCGGTAGACATGGTATATCACAGTGATTCCCCCTGCCCCCCCCTTTTTTTGAACCTGTGGGTTTCTGGTATTTTAAAAGAAGGAAATGCTGGCATAAGAGCTGTTAGCTTTTTACCAATTTGAGGTACTCTGAGCATACTCATAATGCCTATACTGTGTGACATCGTTATTGTAAAATCACAGAAGGAAAGAAATCTCTGGATAGTATTGTGGATAAATGTATGCCAGCAATAATATGAGAATGAAGGCACATTTAACAGCATTGTAGAAACTTAAGCAGGGGTGGGAAATGCATGCTGTATCTTTGTATATATTATTCTGATTTAAAAATCTACAAAGCTTTACGTTCTAATAAGTTCAACAGTTAAATCACACATTTTCCTAATCAAATATTTCTGCTCAGGAATTTGTTGCTGTTGGGGCATAAAATTAACATGGGGTACTTTAAAAATGTTGTTTACTGAATACGTCACAATACTTGATCTTATGCTGCTCCAGGGCAGAATCCCATATCTTCTTTCCAAAGTTCTACAGGACCTAAGCCTTTCCCATTTCTTAAGTTGGTTTGTGCCTGAAGAACTTCGGCAGTAAGACGTTTTAGGTTATGATGTAGTAAGGAACGCAGCAATTATTTTTGTCCAAGTAGCACAATACATTGAATGGTGCATGATATCCATAGCTTTCATACCAGTAGGCAAGTTTCCATGCAGTCAAAACACCTGTCACAGACTTTGGTCTCTATATTCCTACTGATCAAATCTCTGTCCTACTCACCAGGCTGGAGACGGAGAATCTGGGCAACAACAGCAATGGGACCTGAGAGGCAGGGTTCAGCATTCGGGTCTTAGAGTCACAATCTAAAGAAGTCTAGGGTCAGGCAATGTAGTCTAGAGAGAAAGATCAAAAGCAAGTCTGGGGTTCAGGCAACAAGGTTTAGGGTTGGCAATGCATGTAAACACTACTGGTAGGATAGTCAGTAGGAATATTTGTCTCTGTAGTTGTCTCTTGCTCCCTTCCCCACTTCTCCACTAAGCTTCCATGACTGACTCTTTTTGTTAGTGGCTCTATGTGCTCCACAAGGTGCTGTCTGCTTTCTGGAATCTTATCTGAGTCAGTTGTAACTATCCATGCTAAAGTTTCTTTGCATGACTTGTGTTCTAAGGTATCCTGTAGCTGTTTGCATGTTGGTCAAACTGTGAACTGATGCACGGTCCCTTTTTTGAAATGCATTTCAATTTGTGTTTGTTGAAGCTAGCTTTGACAGAGCAAGTTACTTGAGTGTGTACTTCTGTAGTCTGCAGCTCACTGCATCCCTTTGTGTAATGCAAGTATGGATTTTGTGCTATACTGTCTTAAATTTTTAGCTGTGCAGTTTTTCACACTAGTGCTGTTTGTTGCACTGAATAATGAAGTATAGTGAACTGTACAAATTTCCCTGTGTACCAGAGATGGCATTTGCTCACTTAAATCCTTGCTCACTTAACTCTACCTACGATACTCTGGTGAAATTCGTTCATGTACAGTCTTAGTCTTTGGGGAAAGCAACTGAACAAATGCTATCCTTCCCCCTCTTTCCAGTAAGAACTGTGGGATTGCCCTTTCATGGGTGAATGTTCACACACATTAAATCTTTTCTGTTTCCAAATCATGTGGCCTATTGGGGGCTGAATTTACAGTTATTTTGCGAGTAATTTCTACATTGTCTCCATATGTTGAACCCACAAAAATATCTGTTTAAATATCCCACAAAAAAATACCCACAAAAATATCATCAGCTACCTTGTGTGTGTGTTGTTTTAATTGCTTTTAATATATACATGTGTGTGTAATGTTTTTTAAAAGTTTTTATTTTTCTTTGTCTTGGGGATCCTAAGGAGGATGGAAAGGTGATTTATAAATGTTTAAAAGAAATAAAAGAAAAACCAGCACAGGCAGAAATCCAGCTTACATGTTTGTTCTTGGGTCTGTTAGAGTAATTCTTTCCTCACTCCTCTGTTGTGTTCAGAGGAGGTAGGTGTTGGTCATGTTGAATTTAGCATTTTTAAATAATGGATTGCTTTCCTGTTGCTCCCAGTCCACCTTCCAGATCATCTAATGATGTCCTCAATTCTTACTCTGAGCTCTTCAAAGTACAAGGAGCATATTTTTAGCTTCACTGTATCCATGGATAGGATGGGATAAGTCCAAAACCACTTCTATGAAATGCAGAAGTAGAAAAGACTGTGCTGTGTTATACCACAGCTGTGCAGGTTTTTTTCAACATCACTGATGTGAATATATGTGTGTTAGTTTCTTGAAATCCTCACTGACACTTGCATGTAGAATCGCTTTAAATCTTGTCAGATGGTTAGGATTTGTGCAGTACAATCCTATGCAGAGTTATTCTAGTCTAAGCCAGTCGAAATCTGTGGATTTAGACAGGAGTTACTCTGCTCAGGTTTGTACCACAAGTCTCTTAGGTTTGTTATCAAGACTTAAATTGCCCTTTCAGATTTGTTAAAAGTTCACCCCTTTCCCAATATTTGATGATGGAGAGTCTGGGTTTTTTGCATGCGGTAGGAACTAAACTGCTTAAGAATCAATAGAAAGAAAATGGTGAATAAAATGATATAATACTTGCTCTTGAAAGTAAAAAAGGTCAAAGTTTTAACTGAAGTGTTTTTCCCCCCTTTTGTAACATTTTCTTCTGCAGAGACTTTTCCTTGGACTGGGATCCTACTTTTTACGGAGATAGTCTATACAACCCGTTTACTCGTGAATTGAAATCTGGCATAGAGGACTTGTTGGAGATGGGTGGCATTGCAATGACAGATGAAGATATAGATTCGGGTGTCTTATATGGAACTTTGCGTGGCACTGTGGTTGGATTGCGCTACTATGCAGGGGTGGTAAGTACAAGAAATGGTGGCATGGAGAACTAGATTGAAAAACAAAAGCATTGCTTTTGATATAAATATTCTAGATAACTGAGAATGTTGTAACCCTGCTAATAAGCAGTTTAAGGTATATCAGCAGTTGCTATCAACATTTAAATAATCTGAGTGTTTTCCATTGAAGTCAAATGTAAACACGAACAATGTGAGGTTCCAAATTTTAGACAGGAATTCCTTTATTGGAAATATTGCCATACTGCGCGAGATGGTGGTGGACCTGAGTCTTAAAATGCAGGGCTGCTTGGGGACTGCGGATGGGGGAGGCTTCAGAACCAATTCCTAGTTTCTGTACTTAGCCCCAGGGTCTGTTAGCTTGTCTCCACAACAAAAAGGACCCCCAAACCCCTCAGCTAGGAGGGATTCCAGAGAGGAAAAGGACAATGCTCCTATATTTTATCTTGGGCTTTTGCATTTATCTCAGAGTAGAATGGAACTGTTTCTACATTCACTTGAACTCTGGCTTTCATCTGAGGATAGGTCTTGCAGTATTTTATAAGAGCCAGCTCCTTTGTGAACATCTAGAGGAGAATAACTTTATTACCTATCCCTTGTGTTTAATATTTGCATTGAAAGCATAAAAGTGTAGTATGAACTAAGTTTTTTGTTAAAAATGTCTTTGGAATAATATGCAGGTAGATGCTGAATATTCTATGGTGTGCTTAGTATGCCTCAGTAGGCAAATTTGGCTGTTTGTACAGGTCAATAATAATGAAATGGTGGCGCTTCAGCGAGAGCCCAACAACCGATACGACGTGAATGCTATAAAAGTGAACAATGTGAACGGAGAGCAGGTTGGCCACATTAAAAAAGAACTGGCTGCGTGTCTGGCATACATCATGGACAGCAAATTAGCACTAATAGAAGGGTAAGGTGTTTTTTTTCCTTTTTAAGCTAATGTTGTACTGTGTTTTCCCCTTGTCAAATTGTCCTTGAATAGCAACTTAACAATAACTCTCGGAATAAGTTTGTTTTTAATTCTTTTTAGAAATTGTGCTACTAGGTTAAGGCAACAATCCTAAGCAGGTCTACTCTGAAGTAAGTCCCATGCTATTCAATGTGGCTTTCCCCTCAGAAAGTGACCATAGGATTGCGGACTTAATTTCAAATCAGGATGTGAAATTTGTAAACTACAGTATAAGGATGTAGTCACAGTTGTAAAAACTGAACCTGTATTATATAAACTGTAGTTACGGTAAAAGCCTACTAGTATGCACCGGAGGCTTAAAAATAAGTTCTGTGGTAATAGTGTGTAAGTAGAGCTTGCTGAATCAGACTACTGGTCCATCTAGTCCAGCATACTGTTTCACACAGTGGCCAACCAGTTGCCCTGGCGGGCCAGACAAACATGACATAGAGGCCAAGGCCCTCCCCTGTTGCTGCATCCCAGTACTGGTATTCATGGGTTTGCTGTCTCTATATGGAGGCTCCTTTTAGTCACCATGGCTAGTAGCTATTGCATGACCTCTCTTCCATGAATTTGTCTAACCTCCTTATAAAGCTATGCTCATGGCCATCACTACCTCCATTGGCAGTGAATTCCACAGTTTTTAAGTACTTGTTGCTGCGGTGGCTCAAGTGGTTAAGACGCTGAACTGCAGGCTGTGGAAGGTCGGTAGTTCAGCAGTTCGAGACCCGAGTTGCCGCATGACGGAGTGAGCTCCCGTCTCTAGTTCCAGCTCCTGCCAACCTAGCAGTTCGAAAGCAAGAAATTGCAAGTAGATAAATAGGGACCACTTCGGTGGGAAGGTAACAGCGTTCCGTACGCCTTGGTGTTTAGTCATGCCGGCCACATGACCACGGAGACGTCTTCGGACAGCGCTGGCTCTTCAGCTTTGAAACGGAGATGAGCACCGCAACCCTAGAGTCGGATTTGACTGGCTTTTGAGCAAGGGAACCTTTACTTTTACCTGAGTAAATAAGAATTTCTTCTTGTTTGTCCTAAACCTATTTGGATGCTTTTGAGTTTTAGTATTATGGGAGAGGGAGAAAAAGCTACCTCTCTCCGCTTTTTCCAACCTATGTATAATTTTATAAACCTCTATTATGTTTACCCCTCACTGTTGTTTTTCTAGATTGAAAATAATCAGGCTTTCTAGCCTTGCCTTGTAGGAAAGGTGCTCCTACCCTTAATCATTTTGGTAGCCCTCCCTTATACGCTTCCAACTCTGCAATATCCTTTTTGAAATACGGCAACCATAACTGTGCACAGTGTTTCAAATGAGGCTGCACAATAGCTCTGTACAAAAGTAAAGTGTACAAATATGCAAATGAGCCAAGTTGAGTGTAAAACTTTACTGAACCAGCCACATTGAGCTGATTGTTCAGTCTGGGAATCAAGAATGCTTGTACAGAGATTTAAGATAGTTTACAGTTTCTGTCATTTAATGTTGCATTGGAGAGTTAAGACTAGGTACTGGAGCAATTTTCTTAGAATTTATAAAGAATTTAGACTGTTTCTGCATGGTTTATCTATTTTGGGTTCAGTGTTGTTGGGAAACTTCTTTGTTTTCCTGCTTCCCCACAGTATTGTGATGCATTTGTATACCTCCCAGGGTTTCTATGGCTTTCCCCTGGTCTTTCCCAAACCTGCTTTACTCTAAAGTTTTTGGGAAAGATCACAGCAAAGCTGGGATGGCTATCACATGGCAGAAAGTTAGAATCTTCCTTGTTCGGCTTACATGGCAGTCATTTTCCCCACAGCAGCCATTTCTACCTCCTGCTGCTGGCGGGGTTGTTTTTGTTTTTAAATCTACAATAATAACATAACAATATGTGTACTAGGCCCACTGAATTCTCAGCTTTTGTTAACAAAAATAATTTTCTAGCCTATAAGAGGAAAGGCATATCACAGCAAGAAAAGGAGACAGAGATTTACTTTTTCAAAAAATGAAAGCTTGGGAATTTGGAGAACCTCTTATGCATTGTCGAAGAGAGCCTCCCTCCTGTCCAACCCGGGCTGGAGATTCTTTTCGCCATGAGGCTGGCTAGCTACAGTTACGGGGGGGGGTGGGGGGGGTGGAACCAGATAACTTATTGCAGCAGTGGAGACAGAAACCAGGTTGGTAAATAAAATATATATTTATTTAAGTGCGCAGAGTATTTAATAAAAGGTGCAAAATTACTTAAAATAGTACTGTGAGGAAAAACAAGAAAACTAGAGTTTAACAAACTTACAGAACCTTGGTTCTCAAAGACAAGATGTTACCCATTTAGTTCTGGGTCCAAATGTACTCTGTCTCCAGTGTCCCAAATGCCAGGCTGGTTGGCTTCAGGAGTCAGAGCTTCCAAGATGACTGAAAGGTGAGCAGAACCAAGTTACATGTCAGCTTCACGTGCAACACCATCATGCCCTCCGAACGGATGTTAAAGCAGGTTATTTATTTGTTGAAGCCCAAGTGGTTGCTAGGCCTGTGCACCAATTAGGGTTCAAGCAAAGTCTTCCAGATACAAGAAGGCCAATCAAGGAAAGAATGAGTTCATTGGTCTCTGATTGGTCTCTGGTAATGTCAGAAGAGCAGGTGACGTGATCTGCAGTTTTACAGCACCAGTCCCATCCCACAGGACTTAATTGGTTTGGAATGTTAACGAGGGAAGCCAAGGCCATAGAGGGAGCATGTTATCTTACAGGTGCAAGGATGTTCGCTCTCCCCAGCACAGTTGTATGAAACGAAGGAGACATAAAGTCAACATTTTTAACAAGAGCAGGCCGCAGCCAGACTGAACCAGACTTTTTACAGCAAACTCCATTTTGAGTGAACCAAAGTTATTGACACACATTCATAACATTACATTGCTAATTTCCTAAAAATGGAAAAAATCCTGGTGGCATGGAAGTGGGAGAATGGCTGCTGCCAAGTGACTAGGGCAGGGAAACATGCCTTATGAAAGCCCTGTTGCCACTGTGCTGTATCAGCAGCTACAGCAGCAGCAAGAAAACCATACTTACCTGTCCCCATGTGGAAAATACCTTAGAGTATTTGCCTTTTTAAAGTATATTAATGATAGAACTGTACATTACAGCGATCAAATCTGCTTACACTTATGTGTCAGTAGGAACAGCTTATTTTTTTACTCTTTCCATTTTCAAAATATCTTTTGTTCCGTAATGTCCTTTTTCTTATCCACCAAATGCCTTTTATGGTTCCTTATATACTTTCTTTATTGGCATAGTCTAGATAGAACTTATTTTTATGATTTATAAGTGTTCATTTTTCTTCTTTGTCTAGTGTTGTTCCTTTTGGAGCAAATAATGCTTTCACTATGCCAGTACAGCTGAGTTTTTGGGGGAAACCAGAGAACAAGGATGTGGTTCTAAAGCATCTGAATGTGTATAACTTTAAGTTGGCTCCTCCAGGAAAATGTAAGTTACAGTTTATTTTGTGTGCGAGATCAGTAGAAATGCATTTAATCAAGCTAAAGCACAAAGAGGTTGATTTTCTTTTAAGAACATAAGAAGAGCCCTGCTGGATCAGACCAGTGGTCCGTCTAGTCCAGTGTCCTGTCTCAGACAGTGGCCAACCAGTTCCTCTGGAGGTATGACAACGGCATAGAGGCCAAGCCTTTACCCCGATGTTGCCTCCAGGCACTGAGATCCAGAGGTTTACTGCCTCTGAATGTAGAGGTTCCCCTCAGTCACCATGGTTAGTAGCAACTGATGGATGTATTCTCCATGAGTCTGTTGATTAAAGTTGTCTACACCTGTGGCCATCATTACATTCTCTGGCAGTAAATTCCACATTTTAATCACTGCTGCCTAAAGAAATATTTATTTCGTCCATCCGGGATCTGCTGCCCATCAGCTTCATTGGATGCTCTCGAGTTCTAGTATTTTGGGAGAGGGAGAAAAAGTTTCCTTTGTCAACTCTCTCTGCCTTGTGCATAAGAGAGCCAGTGTGGTGTAGTGGTTAAGAGTGATGGAATCTAATCTGGAGAACTGGGTTTGATTCCGCACTCCTCCACATGAAGCCATCTGGGTGACCTTGGGTCAGTCACAGCTCTCAGAGCTCTCTCAGCCCCCCCAAATAAGTTTAGCTCGCCACCAGGTGGTGCATAATGCTAAAAGAGTTAGAACTTAAGGCTGACAGACAATTTTAGGGATCTCCTGGCGATACAACACTCAATGCCAAATGATAATAATTATTAATTACCTCATGCATAATTTTATAGATCATGTCCCCCTGTGGTCATTTCTTTTCTAAACTGGGAAGTCTCAGACTCTTCAGCCTTTCCTCCTATGGAAGGTGCTCAAGCACAGTATATTTTACATTATATAAATTTGTGTATTGGATTGAACACAGCTTATTTTACATTATGTAACTATATAAATGGAGATAAGTTTCTTACTTAGTGCTGGGAAGTGGGCATTGCAGATATTAAGTAGTCTTTTTCCCCCTCCCCTTTCGAATTACAGCCTTAGGCTTGGGTTTTGGACATAGTGGGACATCAGGAAGAGCTGGAACAAGTTACAGTGCTCCAGGTCATGCTGCTGTACAAATGACCACTGAACAGGTATAAATCATGTTCTTTTTTCCCCAAGAATGTGTTGAAATTTTAAAGGCTTAAATTCATTTTTAAGTACTAAAATCAGTTCATAGAAGCTCAATATCTGTTTATCTTTGTCTCTTCTTTAGAGATCAAAAACAAAATGCCCCAGTCTTAAAAACAGTTTTCTTTGCTTTGTCGTATTGTGACAGTAAAACAGTCATGTTAACCTACCATTTAAATCCTTGCTTCAGTGGTGGTGAGGTAATAAAAAGACAAGGACCGCTGTCAGATTCTTAGTTCTGTCAAGTGTGTTTGAATCGGGCAGGAACTTTGTAGTTCCTGGTTGCCTTTCATCCATGTTTAGTCAGATGTGGGTCTATCTATTCCAATGATATTCCCATATAGCAGATTTTCCATGCATATTGTCAGCTTGCAGGGAACAATTCTGTATGAGGAATGTAAGAACTGTATTGTTTGACGTTAGGGTGTGGAACTGATATGTCAATTGCAAGCAAAACCATGGGCTTGTTAACGTCTCTCTTTGAAATAAAATCAAGGGAGGAACTACTTTCATTAAAAAAAATTTTTGCCTTAACTATGGCAATTTATCAGTGACTCACAGAATTGCTCGTTGAGTAATTGCATGTGTAATTTCTTTAGGCTTACCAAGGTCCGGCGGGGGAATCGTTTTTCTTGGCAGGAGCCTTGCCGCGGGGACGGCTCCACGCGCTGCCCCCGCCGTCGCCAGGATGTGACGCTCCGCGTCGCTCTGGCAACGGGACTCCAAACAGCCCCATTGCCAGAGCAACGCGGAGCGTCACATCCTGGCGACGGCGGGTGCAGCGCGTGGAGCCGTCCCCGCGGCAAGGCTCCTGCCAAGAAATACTATTCCCCTGCCGGACCTTGGTAAGCCTAAATTTCTTCCAAAGGCCTAGGGCTTAGATATGGTCACTTTCTTATTTTATAACCTCAGGATTTATTTTAAAGCATCTGTTTTATATTAGTCATTGCCACTTGATACTCCTTACCTATTCTTTTAAAATAACTTATTTTGTTGATCTTCTGTTGTAGCTGAAGACTGAGTTTGACAAACTGTTTGAAGATCTGAAAGAAGATGATAAAACATGTGAAATGGAAGCAGCAGAGGTACATTCTTTTGAATATAGCATATTAGTTTATATTCTTGGTAAAAAAAAGTATCCTGAAGGACATTAAATATAAGGATAGCTGCGGTGGCTCAAGTGGTTAAGACACTGAACTGCAGGCTGTGGAAGGTCAGTAGTTCAGCAGTTCAAGACCCGGGTGCCGCAAGACGGAGTGAGCTCCCGTCTCTAGTTCCAGCTCCTGCCAACCTAGCAGTTCGAAAGCAAGAAATTGCAAGTAGATAAATAGGGACCACTTCGGTGGGAAGGTAACAGCGTTCCGTGCGCCTTGATGTTTAGTCATGCCGGCCACATGACCACGGAAATGTCTTCGGACAGCACTGGCTCTTTGGCTTTGAAACGGAGATGAGCACCGCAACCCTAGACTCGGACTCGACTGGCTTTTGAGCAAGGGAACCTTTACCTTTAGCTGTGCAGTACTAGAAAATAAAGGCAGAAATAAATAAACAAACAACTTTTACTTATCATGGCTTTCATATGAAGTATATAATGTAATCATCTTAATTTTTCCCCAGGCTGTTTTAACGTCATTACTTCCACATCAGAAGCAGGCTTTAGCGTGGATGATTTCACGTGAGAACAATAAGGAGTTGCCTCCATTTTGGGAAGAGAGGGAGAACTACTTCTACAATACGATTACAAACTTTGCTGAAAAAAAGCGACCTGAAAATGTTCTTGGAGGAATATTGGCAGATGATATGGGACTGGTAATGATATATGTTACACAGGGAAGTGGCATGGTTGACTTGTGATAAAAATACTGAGTTCCACTATGCTTGCATTTCTCAGGGTAAAACGCTTACCACTATCGCAGTCATTCTTACCAATTTTCATGGTGGCAAACCTCTTCCTCTTGAAAAGAAAAGTGATCAGTTGAACGAGGTGAGATACACGTATTCTTGATCTCATATCAGTTAATGTCAGGACAGTTTTCTTGCTAAAGCTCAGTCCAGACAAGACTGAGGTGCTGTTACTCAGTGATACAGCTGCTCAGAGACTGAGAAGTCAGCCTGTCCTTGAAGGGCTGGCACTCCCCTGATGGAACAGGCTTATAGTATGCGGGTATTGCCTGATCCTGGTTTACACAACTGGAGGTCCAAGGTCTCTGAGGCATGTACCATCTTTTATCAGATGCGGCTGATACACCAGCTGTAGCCATTCCTCAAAAAGTGTGATCTACCCATGGTGATTCATGCCTCAATTACCTCCAGGTTAGATCACGGTTGTGTGGGCACTTAAATATGGCTGGCTTTGAAAACGGACCAGAAACCTCAATTGGTTCAAAATGCCAGGCTACTATCAGGGGGAGGGTACAGGAATTGTATATCACCACAGTGCTTAAAGATTTGCATTGGTTGTGCATTTGTTTCCAGGCACAATTCAAAGTGCTGGTTCTTCACTTTAAATGGTCTTCACTTTAAAGTCCTAAATGGCTTGTGATCATGGTACTTGAAGGACCGCCTTCTCCCATATTGCCCAGCCCACTAGTTAAAGTCTGTCTCACAAGTCCTGCTGTTTGTGCCCCCACTTTCAGAAGAGAGGTGGGTAGCAACCAGAGGCAGGGCTTTTCCAGTAGTGGCTCATCAGTTATGGAATGCCATTCCCCTTGAAACTCACCAGCTGCCTACATTGTTCTCTTTTGGGTGCCAGGCGAAAACATCTGTCTTCACCCAGGCTTTTAATCAAGGGGCCGATCTTTTAACATAATCTTAGTGTGCCTTTAGTCTGAAAATTGTTATTTTAAGCTCTCATGTGCTCTGTCTGTATTTTTAGTGCTGTATTTTAGTTATTATGTGGTGTTATTTTATTTTTATTATGGTTTATTTTGTAAACTGACTTGGGCAGTTCCTTGGAGAGGCAGCATAAAAATTTTCTAAGTAATGGTGATGGGAGGAATTTTTTTTAAAAAAATTAAGAGTGTGTGTGTGTTTTTTTTTTTTAGAAATGTGTTTCTACTGTGAAAACTGACTTAAAAGGTAATTTGTTTGAAATTTGTACTATTTCCTTAGAAAACATATAATGTGTTTTAAGTCTGCCTTGTCAAATCACTATATTTAATTCTGACCTTATTGTGAGATCAGGGACACAGATGTTTCCCCCTGTCAACCTCCTGGAAGACCCATGGTGCAGAAAAATCTGAAATCTAGAAACCAACAAAATGTATTGGAGTTAACCCCGCCTATAATAGGGGGTTAACCCCCCTCTTAAAAACAGAAGCAGCATCTGTAGATTTAAGATATGAGTACTGCTGAAATTTCAAGACTAAGTTCTGAGATCTTAATGTCCATGATTGTGATTGCTGTGCAGCCACAGCAATCTTACTGAGCCTTGGTTTCTGTTAGCCAAATTAGGGGTGGGGGAAAGTCACTGGAAAAAGATAAAAGAAAGAAGAGTGGGAATGAATCAGGAAAAGGTGGAAAGAAGGAGAAAGTGAAAGAGGAGAGAACTGGAAAAGGTGGTTAAGTGGGTGGGAGAGAAGAAAAGTAGAAAGGCTGCTAGGGAGTGGGAAGGAGGAAGGAGAGGAAGAAGAAGGGAAAGGGGGCCTGCCTGGGAGGGATAAAGAAGAAATATTTGGGGGGGGGTAGAATGTCAGGAGCAGAATGAGATGCCTCCTGAATCCTTGTGGGTCCCCAATTGTAGTACTTAATTTTGGGAATTTCTAATTTATGTAAGGCAGGGGTCCCTAACCTTTTTGAGCCTGTGGGCGCCTTTGGAATTCTGACATGGGGTGGTAGGCACAACAATGAAATAGCTGCCATGAGAATGTTAGAGACAACCATAAAATGTCAGGTAGGGAGGTTATGCATAATTCTAGTAGCAATTCAACATTTCAGGCAGGAGCTTTGCTTAACTTGATGGCTTTTTAAATGAACATATTGTTTAAAAATATTTTCTTGTTTACACATTAATCTTCAGTCATGCAGCAAAGATCTTTGTGTTGAGGTGGTAACTGCTGCCAGAGCAATGCTTTTTAAAAAAAATCTGCACAGCCAATCACATTTTCAATGGCCAATCAGAAGCCCTGCTAGGCAAAAGCCCCACCTGGCCCCACCCACTTTCTAAAAACACTTGGTGAGCACCAGGAAAGGTGTTGGTGGGGGCCATGGTGCACACAGACACCGTGTTGGTTGGGACCCCTGATATAAAATATTGTTTCCTTCAAATAGTTTGTGACTTTTTTTCCTTGTTGTTGCATAATTCTTTTAAAGCACCTCGTGCTTCAGATACAAAGGAAGAAAATGATTCTGTTCTGCCTCAGTCATCCCGTCCAAAAAGGTAGGGATCTGAAAAAGTTCTATTTGCCCATGGGCCTTTGAATAAAATAAATGTGTGTGTGTGTGGGGGGGGAATTTAAGTATTATAATTCCCACAACAACTTGCAAATAAGGGAAGACTTTTGGCTTGTTGTAAAATGATAAATATCATAAAATGATAAAGAGAATGATCATACTTAGAAAATTAACCTGATTACATTCTAAAGAGCACTTTTATGCTCCTCTAAGAATTTGCTTTATACTCTTCAAAACTTGCTTTCTTCTGTTAAGTTGCACTATTTTCACACTATCATCAGACTGTTTGTGAATCTCTCCCCTCCCCTTCCAACCCTGTTTCAAAAAGGAAGTCACCATGGAATATTAACAAGAACCACTTTTCATAATAAAACCAATAGAAGGCTCTTCCAAATGTGCAGATGAGAGCCAGTTACTTTAATGGGGTATTCTGGCCCCAGCTAGTGATTGGTAAGCTTGTTGTAAATGTTCCTGTGTGCTGACCATGCAAATAAACTTGTTTGTCTAAATTACTAGGTACTAGTATGTGGCTTTGGAGTACTAACTATATTTACAATTTTTTTCTTTCTGAATGTGTTAGAGGTGGAGAAAAGACGCCCACGTATACAATCAGTAGTGACTCGGAGCCTGATGAGAAGATAACACAAAAAGCAAACAGTAAGATATGTTATACTGGCATTGATACTTAGTTTCTTCATTCATGGGCAGGGCAATCCTCTGCCGCGCCTGAGCTGTGGTGGCCAGTTGCAGCATAACTACAACACTGCTAGTCAATTTTCTATGGGGATAGGTTATGTGGTGGCCAACAGAAAAATTCGGTCCGTTTGCTGTGTTTTCTGAGTAATCAGGTCCATAGCAACCACACCGCTGCGGTCAGCGGAGGCACTGCATGGAGGCAGTGGTGCTGTGATGGACAGGGCAGCCAGAACCAATCAGGGGTGATGTGGCAAAGGGGGCAGAGTCCAGTGTACATCACAGGCAGCGTTGAGGAGGAGCAGACAACAGGAATTTTGCTCATTGTTAGCAGCACCCCCACCCCTTTAAAAGGACCAACTCCTGTCAGCAGTCCCGAGCACCTGACAGTGGGGAGAGGGTTTGAGCTGTCTGGCCCATGGGCATCCACAGCTGCCTCAGTGTCCCCACACAGCACAGGGACCCCAAAGGGCAGAAGGGGAAGTGGGGTTGTTGTTGCTATCCTGTGCATTTGTGGGTGTCCTCTGCTCACTGGCAAGCGTGCTTCCCAGCAACCTGGCCATGTTGCTAAGGGCACTCCCACACCATCCCCCTGGCCACCCCTGCAGGAGAGGGGGCCACTGGGGTGGCTCAGATGGGGTGGCATGCAGCACTGCCCTGAGATCCCCCAGTTGCTTCCCCAGTGGAGCAGAAGTGGCCTGGGACTGGAATGACCGTCATTCCACCCTGGGCACTGTCATTCCACTCCCAGGGCAATCAGTGCCCAGAGACTGTCATTCGAAATCCGTTCTGCATTCATCATTACTTTCGTGTGGAGTAGTGTATTGCAGTGGAACCCATGCAAGTCATTTGGCATTTCTAATGGGCATTCCAGCTTCTCCTATTGTTCCCAATGGGCAATCCTGTCCGTTGTTTTGGTACATTCTCTCTCGATGCATTCGTGGCTCGCCCCAGTGTCCCTTGTGACATCAGCAGCTCCTCCAGGTGCCTGCCAGCTGCCGCCAAAGATGCAGCCAGGAGAAAACATCCCTCCCTCGTGGTAGGACTCTAGCTACTGCTGCTCAGTTGCCACCCCAGGGCCCCAGCAAGGGCTCCAGCTCCCTTGCTACAGCATCCCGAATCAGATGCCTGCCTCCCCTACCACTGCCCCTCCCACCCCCCCTCCAAAGAAATTTAGTCTGCCTGCTGTATTGGCCCCCTCCCCAGCCCCCCCCCCGCAGACACACAGGTATGAATTTAATTCATTCACTCTATTCATTCTCCCCCATGGGGATGCCAAGTAGCTTACATTGTTCTCCTCTTTTATGTTTTATGCTTACAACAACCTAGGCTGAGAGTGTGCATCTGGCCCAAGGCTACCCAGCTAGCTTCCATGGCCCAAGTGGGGATTGGAGTCTACATCTCACAGATCCTAGTCTCGAACTCTAACCACCACACCAAGCTGGCTCATTCACCTGGACCACCCTCTGGCCCATCCCCCCTTCACACAGCAGCCTGTGAAGTGAGGAACCTGGTTTTAGGTCAGCCTTGGAGGTTTTGCTGGGCCCTGCTATGTTTGGCAGGTGGCTGTGACCAGTGGCACCTGCACAACCATCTGCAGCCATCCCAGGTGGCCAAGAGCCTTCCCTCTTGGGCGGGGAAGTAACAGCTGGGGTGGGCAGGGAGGGGCGTGGAGCTCCTGTCATGCAGTCAGAACCAAACAGAACCACAGTCATGGCACAACACAGACTTCTTTGAACTGCAAATCATGGCAAGGTCTGAAGACTCCATTTGCTACCTCCCTGGAAGTCTGAGGATCCTCTGGCACAGCATACATCTAAACGGGTTGGAGTTGGAAGGGCTGGCTGGGTACAATGCTCCACTCCAAGAGGAGGGCTGGGACAGCAGACTGAGCAGAGTGTGTTGGGTGGGTGGGGGGGAGGCAGGACTAGCCACGTCCAGAGGTCTCCTTGTTGAATCTTCACCTGCAGGAAAGCAAGCCATGGCAATGGGGCACGAGTGCTATGCTGGGTTCAGCCATGGATGCGTCACCCTGTCAGGGCCTGCAAATGCAGCCCTATTGGGGGGGGGGCTTCACCATGAACAGCCCCCCCGCCTTGAGGCACATGATGGTGCTATCTGAATTATACTCACCACCCGTCCTGTGTTGAAGTGCTCAAGTGCTTGCGATCCACCCACAGTAGCACCTGCAACTGCTGCTCAAGGCTCTGATCCTGGGTGTTAGCGCTAAGTGTTCATCTTGTAGTGCTAAGTACCCCCTCTGTGCTTTTCCCATCACCAAATTGCCTCACTGCTTGCTCTAAGTCTGTATAGCAGGGAGCTCTGAGATGGAGTTCTGTGTGGCACACCTTCTGAGTTGTAAGATGTCCTTGCTGAGGTGTTTGTAGAGTGGGGAAGCACGGTTGGGTACTGAGGAGGGGACTTGGCTGCCCCTGGGGAGGGAGGTGATTGGTTGTGCCTGTAGTAGGTCTCCTGAACTCCTCTGAGCCTAATAGGCATGGCTGCAATGGGGGGCACTTGATTTTTTAGCTCATTTGGTACCTATGGGCTATGCCATGTTTTTTGTTGGCATAACTGTCTGCCTCTGACAGGGGGCGTTCCCAGGCTGAAAGGGCTCAGGTAGCCCAGCTAACTCCAGCCATGCTATTAAAACCATCCACAACCATGCTGGTTCAGGGGCCTATGCCTCTGTTGCACCGATGGGGAGCCACCATGGGGCTGCACCAGCACCCGTGAGCTATGGATTGGCCCTGGGGGCCTATGGCCCTTACACCAGCGTATCTCAGAGATACACCATTTTAAAGATCAGTTGGCTCTCTGAGCACTTTTGTGCATCCCCCCGACTTGCTCTGTTACTCACTCTTTGACATTTTCCCTGTTTTACCAGCCAAAGCCCAAAAAACCCTGCCAGGATCAAGTAAAAGGAGAAAAGGTATGATATTTGGAAACTCGTATCGGCCTTAGTGGGTTTATATTAGGGAGGGAAGGAAGCAGGAAAAGGGGGGAAAGGAGAGTAAGAAGAGTGGTGGCAGGGAACAGACAAAATCAAGTGGGTGGGAGAGAAGAAAAGAGGAGGCTACTAAGGGGTGTGGAAAGGAGTGGCAGCTGTAGGTAGAGGGAGAGAGAGAGGGAAAGAAGGGAGGGGCTGTGGGGCCTGCTAGGGGAAGAGAAAGAGAAAACAGGTAGGTGTATGTGTGTGGGTAGAGAGAATGAGATTTCACCAAAAGTCCTTACTGTTCCTCCACTTGTAGCAGCTAATTTTGAGAATTTTTTTTAAAGTATAGTTACCTTTAAAAGTTTGACTTTTTTGTTGCATACTTCTTCCTAAGCATCCAGTGTTTCAGATATGAAGGAAGAAAATGTTCTGCCTCAGTCATCCTGTCCCAAAAGGTAGGAATATGAAAATGTTCTACTTACACATGGGCCTTTGAATAAAATAGATATGGGAAAAACAGTTATAATATTATAGTTAACCTAACCTGAAATAAGGGAAGACTGTGTCCATTTGTTATAAAATGACAGATATCATGACAAAGGTTTTGTGCTTGAAAATTAACCTGGCCATTTTCTTAAAAGCACTTTTATACTTGTCCAAGAACTTGTTTGTGTTCTTTAAAATCTGCCCTTTTCTTTTACATAGCACCATTTTCCCACAATCACCAGACTGTTTATGAATCTCTCCTCTCCCCTCCTTTATCACCCTGTTTCAAAAAGAAAGACACAGAATTTTGAGAAGAATCAGTGTTCATAGTAAAATGAAAAGGAGGCACTCCCAAATGTGAAGGCTATAACTAGTTACTCAGTGGGGCCCCAAACTGATGGTTGGGGAACTTATAAAGATTTCTGCAGTTTATAGGCTGTACAAATGAACTTGTCAGTTTAAATTACTAGTTACTAGTATGTGGCTTTGAGGTATTTTGTGTATTTTTATTACATTTATTTGTTTAGAATGTTTCTATTCCATGCTGCCATTTCAGAGTCCTGCTTGAGGCAACTTACAATTAAAATAATACAATGGGGGACCTGCAGACTTGTGGAGGATGTCTCATTTTCTCCAGCCCACTCTT